CTCACCCAGCTGTTCCTGATCCCCTTGAGGACTTCCTCAGGGAGGCCGCTCCAGAAGGCACAGCAGAGCTGAGGGCCCACAGACGCCCCCACAGGACCAGCCTCAGCATCTTTAGATGCAAACAGTCCCAGTGCCTCATTTCACTCATAGGGGGACTGAGGTGCAAAGAGGGGAAGTGACTTGTCCCAAGTCATACAACCAGCAAACAGGGTGTCCCCCGACTACCACCCCCAAGAGGCCCCTTCTGCTTGAGTCCTAAGGAGTGGGAAAAGAGTCTGAGAGTTGGGGAGATGTGGATGCGTAGAGGGGGCACAGGCCTGGCTGTTTGTGAGAAGGGCACAGAGCAGGGATGCAACACTGATTATTGTTGATCCTGTCGTCAGGCTCTCTGGAAATTTCTCACTCATCATCCTCCTTGCTCAGGTCAGAGGGCCACTTCCTTCTTTCTGATTCCAGAGCAGATCAAGTCTACTTCCTCCATTCCCACCCCTACCCTCCCCCTCCCCAAGGACCACCAAAGGCAGAGGAGAAATTCAGAGCTCGGAGAGTAGACAGAAGGCCCAGATACTAAAATGGTCTTCAACTGATGTTTTGCCAGGGTCACACCCCTGGAGTGTGTGTGTCTGGGGGTGTGGCCAGGCCTCTCGAGGCCTGAGAATTAGATGTGGTTTACAGTCTTAGCTGTGTGGCCCTGGGCATGTCATTTCTCCTCTTTGGGCCTCAATTTTCTCTCCTGAAAAATGGGGTTGATAAATTTGCACCCCTACCAATGGTGTGCTGGTATATGTTCACCAGTCAGATCTGAAAAAATAAATCAATAGGGCTCTGATGTGTAGTATTTGCTAATTTCCATGGGTAAATACACCCGCCATGGCCAGTTTGGGCCCATTTCACTGGACGTGGAGTTGGGTGATGGGCACGACTGACTCTCACAAGGCCATACCAGCTGGCTCCAGTGCACCACTGCCCGCTGCCCTCTGGGGCAAAGGGAGGACGTAATGACATATGAGATACAAATGGGCAGAGCAAACTGCAAAGGGCTCTGTGGATGTGGAGCTGTGATGATGATGATCGTCCTTACAGTCGAAGGGAACCCAGTGCACAGTCCACTGTAAAAGGCTCTGGCCTCCAACCCAAGAAGGGGCAGGTTGTGGGTTTGGGAGCCCATAGTGAGTGACAGGTCATGAGAGTGACCTAAGGTAGCTCCTGGGACCTGAGAAGGGAGCAGAGCTGATAGGACCTCCTGCATTGGTTCGCTGATATTTGCACACACGTGCCATCGTGCCCCCCGACACTGAAACAGGCAAGATGAAGGTCAGATTTCAATGAAATATTCCTTCTGAATGCAGATGCCAGTCCCAGGACACTGCTAGGGCCATCAGGGAGGCCCCCTGAGGGATCCAAAGCAACAGAGTCACCCCTTCCTTCCCACTCCAATCCCTGAGAGTTTCTTTAGGCATTGGCTGAAATGACCTCTGACATCAGAGAGTTGAGAAGAGAGAAGTTTAGCCTCTGCCAATGGGGGAGACAGATGTCAGGGAGATAGAGGTGGGAGGCAGGAAGGGACAGAAGAGGGGAGTTCCCTCTGCTCTCCCTGCCCCCACCCCCAGAGTTCATGCCTTAATTTAACTCTGTCCCACTGCTAATTATTAATAATAGCTATCATTTATTGAGCACATACTATGCTTTAAGATATTTACAAGCAATATTTCATTTAATACTCCAGAGAGGTATGTATTATTAGCCCTATTTTATAGATGAGAAAACTGAGGCCCAGCGAAGGAAGTTAAGCAACTTGCCCAACAAAAGTCCCACAGTTACTGGGATCAAACCTAATTCTGACTCCAGATCATCTGGCTTCAGGGGCTCTGCCGGCTACTCCAGTTAGAGATCAGACCAAAGCAGCCTCATCCCCATCCCCACGGTGAGCCCTTCCCTGTGCTGGACAGGAACCCCCCATATACACCAGTCAGAGGCCCTTTGCCCAGCCTCTGAATGCAGTTGGTTGAGGGTCCCCTCTTTCCTGAGCTGTGTGGTTAGGCAAGTCACTTAACCTCTTCTCCAGGCCTCATTTCTAGAATAGAGCTTCAGCTGAGGCAACCAAGGGGATACCATGGTCACCAAATCAGGAGTCATCACTTACAAAACTGGCCCAGAGGAAACCCTGGACAGAGGACCACTCAGGGGCTTCTGCATCCTCAATGCAAATTAAGGGCAAGCCTGTGAACTCTGCATAACTTCCCCGGTTCTAATCCTGTCCCCAGGGGCTTGGGGGAGGTGGGGTGGTGGTTTGGCCAAGCCAATATATGAAAGTCATGGCTGTGAACTGAAGGCCTCAGTCCAGGCCTCTGACATGCAGACACTCAGCCAGGGCTATAGGTAATGTCCTGGGGGGCTAGTGCAAGGATCAGGGAAGGCAGATGCTACAGGAGTCCTTCTGTGCAGGCTGGAGCTGGGATTCAGGGAGGCTTCCTCAGGTGCACATCTGCAAAGGAGCAGGGCTGGGATGTGATCCCCCTGAGGCCAGGCTGAGTGAAGGCCAGGCAGACAGGAGGGCCAGCAAGGGTAGGGTGCCAGGTCTGAAGCAGCCAGACCATCAGGGAGACTGTAGAGCCTGGGGTTGGGGCCCAGCCACATTTGGCAGACTGAGGCCAGATGCATGGCACGTGTCACTGAGCATTTTCTATGTGCCCGCTCCTTACTTTACACACCCTCTCACTTAATCTTCATGATGGTCCTGTGAGATGTGTCCATGCACCTCATTTATCAGATGAGGAAAGTGAGATACAGAGTTAACACAGTCTGTTCAAAGTCACACAGCCAGGAAGTGACAAAGCTGGGACTCAAACTCAGGTCGGTTCAAATCCAGACCCTTGCTCTTAACCACCATGCTACCCGGCCTCAGAGAAGGGAGTGACCAGCTACCCCTGAGTTACAAAGCCAGAGATCTGGGGGGAGGAAGGACCTTGGCCTTGCATCTGGAGGAGCTGGAGAACGCCTTGGCCTTGGGAAGGCGCCAAGCCCACTGCACCACCTCCCGGGAAAGCAGTCTGGGCCAGAGCCAGGTATGCAGGCAGGCCTGAGCTGTCCAGGAGGAGCTGTCCAGGGAGCAGGGGCCAGGCCCGGGTGGTCATGCGGAACCAGAGATGGGTTGCCCCGCACCTTGGGCCCCATGCCTGCTCCATTGCGGTGTCCAGTTACGGCCAGCTCGGCGCTTCCCCCGTCACGCCACATTTAGCATTGCCGAGTGAGCAGGCGCCGGGACATCGAGAAGGGGCGATGGGGACTCTTGAAGGGGCGGGAGAGCCTCCTACCGGCCCCCAGCTACCAACCCCCTCTACCGCTGATCCCCTGTGGGACTTTGGGCAAATTGGGACTCCTTGACAACATTACCCCACCCACCACCACCTCAAACGAAGAAGATGTCTTATTTAGCAAAGATATGCCAACCCCAGGCTGGGCACCAGAGGGCCGGTGAAGCCCTCTCTCCCTCCCAGAGCTCCCAGAAGAGCATGGCCTGGGAAGGGCACAGCCACCCTGCTCTGGAATGAGGGGTTCCTGGGTGGAAGGGGTAAGGGTAAACCTCACCCTTTTCTTTTTTTTTTTTTTTTTTAAAAGATGACCGGTAAAGGGCCGGCCCGTGGCTCACTTGGGAGAGTGCGGTGCTGATAACACCAAGGCCACGGGTTCGGATCCCATATAGGGATGGCCGGTTTGCTCACTGGGTGAGCGTGGTGCTGACAACACCAAGTCAAGGGTTAAGTTCCCCTTACCAGTCATCTTTAAAAAAAAAAAAAGACATCATGCTACCTGTGGTATCAGATTTGTCCTGATAAACCAATGAGAAACTCATGCAAGTCATTTACACAGAGGCCAGCCCAGAGCAGACCCTCAGCAAATGGGAGCTTTTATGAGAGACCACTTGTGCAAAGAGAAGTAAATACAAAAGGAACTGCCCTTTGCAGGGGGTGAAGGAAGGCAAAGAGCTGCGGATAACAGAGCCATTCTAACAGTATCAGCAGTGAAGGCTGACATTTCTTGAGCACTCACTATGCGCTGGGCACTATGCTAAATGCTTTCTATGCATGATTGCACCTGGTACTCGCAACATCTCTATGAGGTGGATCCTGTCACTCCCCCTGTGGCAGATGATGATGCTGAAGTGCAAAGAGCTTTGCTGACACAGCTGGTAAAGAAGGGCTGAGCCTGACATTGAGCCCTGAGTCCTCTTGACCACTCCACTGTGCTGGGGACAGGGTTTACCTGTAATTCTTGGTCTGTGCAGAAAAGCCCTCAGATATCACTTGGTTCAAGCCCCTAGTTTTTCATGAGAAAACTGAAGCTCAGAAAGAGGAAGTGGCCTACACAAAGTCACAGGTATGAGATAGAGTTGGGAGGCCATAGGTGAAAAGAGCCCTGCCGGGCGTTCTGCAGTGGGCTGGTGACATCCCCGGTGCCTTCCAGGCTCACGGACCACCCGGCAACCAGGACCCCTTGAGTTCCCGTTTGCACACAGTGTCATGCCAGCTAAGCTAAGGGCCTGAAGTAGCACCACAGACCCAGCCTCTGCTGAGGACTGGGTCACCTATATCGTGGGGGTTGCTCCCACCCTAGGCCTGGACCTAACGCACCCTCCAGATCCCCCTCCATTCAGGACCTGCCCCGATACTGACCCTTTGTTGTAGAACAGGAGACCATCTTGAGAAGACAGAGGCAGGGTCTTGCTGGTTCAGTCCTCTGCAGCTGCAGAACAGCCAAGCCCCCTCCTCTGCAGGCTCCTACCTGCTCAGTTTGCCCTCTCTACCAGTGTCATCTCTCTCTGCTTTCTTACTCTGTCTGTTATTCTCATTTTATGTTTCCTTCTGTTTCTCTCTCTCTCTCTCTCATCAGATGGCTGGCTGGAGGCAGGGTCCAGCTCAGGGATGGGGTGGGAATAGAGGTGGTGGACCTGGGATTGGTCACCCCTGGACACTGGTCCTCACTCTTATCGCAGCCGGCTTTCTTCAAGGCCAGGACTGGGTGATGGTGTCGCTACTCCCGCTGCAGTCTGACGTCACGCTGCCGGGCCCTGCCAGACTGGAGGGCGAGCCCCAGGGGGACCTCATGCAGGCACCGGGCCTCCCAGGCTCTCCTGCCCCACAGAACGTAAGTACCTGGCACCTAGGCCTGGGCTTAGGCCAAGGCCTGAGGGCTGCACAGGCAACAGGTGGACCAGTCACTCCCTCCCCCCAGGGACCTCCCAGGGTCTGTCTTGTCACTTCCACCAGCAAACAGGTCCTCAATGACCCTGAGATCCAGAAGTGTTCAGATACGGGCCTCTGCTCATCCCTTCAGTCTGGGACTTTCCCAGGGCAGGGCCGTGGAGCCTCATCAGACTTGGGGTACCCCAGGTTTAGGGGCAGTGTGCCCTCCTCAGATCGGGGCTCCCAAGGGCAGGCTATGTCTTCTCCATCATTTGGGGGCTCCCCTCACAAGGTAGGGTCCTGGCAGGTCCCCAGGCCTGGTCCAGCCTCCATTCACACGCTCTCCACCCTCTGTCCTCCCAGACGCATGCCGGCTTCAGCTGCTCGTCATTCGTGCCCGATGGCCCTCCAGAGAGGGCACCCTCACTGCCCCCACACAGCCCCAGCATTGCATCACCAGGCCCTGAGCAAGTCCAGGGACACTGCCCAGCTGGCCCCGGCCCGGGCCCCTTCCGGCTCTCATCCTCAGACAAGTATCCCGGCTTTGGCTTTGAGGAGGGCCCAGCAAACAGCTCTGGGCGCTTCCTCAAGGGCAGCCACGTGCCTTTCCACCCGTACAAGCGGCATTTCCATGAGGACGTCTTCCCGGAGGCTCAGACCGCCCTGGCCCTCGATGGACACTCCTTTAAGACCCCGGGGGCTCTGGAGGCCTTCGAGGAGATCCCCGTGGATGTGGGGGAGGCCGAGGCCTTCCTGCCTGGCTTCTCGGCGGAGGCCTGGTGCAATGGGCTCCCATATGCCAGCCAGGAGCACAGCCCCCAAGTCCTGGTGAGTACCAGTGGCCAGTAGGCATCCCACCTCCCCCATCCTTGTCCCTGGCAGCCTAGAAAGAGTCCTCTGAGATCAAACTCCAGACCTGCCCCTTTCAGACCTTGCCACTCAAGATCAGTGTGCTCCAAGGAAGCAGCAGGCTCAGAGAGTTGGGGCCTCTTGGCTTCAAGCTGAGCCTCCAGGTCAGCTGGGGGAAGAGGCATGGGGGGTAAGCCGGCCTGGCCCAGCATGGAGGGGACAAGGTGGGGGAGGCAGGTCAAGCTAAGGAAGCTGGCAGCTTCCCAGAGGCTCCTGAGTCAGGATTCCAGTGTGACTTCCCTCTGTTTGTCTAAGTGTCAAGAATCCCCAGCCAGACTTACACGCCCATATGCAAATGTGAGAAGAAAAACACATTCCAGAGGCCAAGAGAAAGGGTTTAGGGAGGAGCCACAGAGCACAATTTTCCCCTCCCCAGCATCGGTGTACAAAGTTGAGAGGATTTAAGTCTTCTCAAGGGGCCTTCTCCAGCCCTACCATTTGTCCTATGTATATTCATAGCAATACCTTGAAAGCACCTTGAAAGGTCAATATGTCTTTCCACAGCCATCCTCCCAAGCTGTGTAATCTTGGGCAAGTCACTTAACCTCTCTAAGCCTCATCGAAAAAGGTTAACATGGGCTGACTAGTTAGCTCAGTTGGTTAGAACGTGGTGTTGATAAGTCCAAGGTGAAGGGTTCAGATCTCTGTACTGGCCAGCAGCCAAAAAAGAAAAAGCTTAACAGTACCTGCCTCATAGGATCATTGCTTTGGAAGAGAAAATTAAAGGAGCTTGGTTTGGAGGTCCCCGAGACAGTGACTGAGTGGGCTCGGCCTGGGTTGTGCCTACTCCAGAAGCCCACCAGCCCACCTCACTTCTTGCCTTCAAACAAGCCCCCATTCCAGCTCCAAGCTACTCCCACCAAAGCCCTGTTTCAAAGGCAATTGGGCACCTACCAGGTATGGCCAAGACCTTATTCTGTGTTGGGAGCCCTTTGACAGCTTCTTCCCAGGCCCCTTGAACCTGATAGTAGCCCCCAGTGAGGGCACCATCATATCAGCTACTGCCCCAGCTGTCCACGCAGTACCAGCTCCTGGTCATTCTGCCAGGTGTTTTCTTTCCAGTGCACCATTTAGTCCTCACAGCAACCCTCTAGAGAGTTCCCACAATCCTTATTTTGCAGATGAGGAAACTGAAGCTTATTGAGGCCAAGTGACTTGCCCAAGGTGCCCCCCAGTCTGTCAGTGATGAGGATGAGATTTAGTCCACACGTTTCCGCCTGCGTAATGGAGAAGAGCTCAGACCCAGAGCCCCACGGCTAACTAGTTGACTAGCAATGTGACCTTGGGCACATCACTTCCCCTCTTTGGGCTCAGCCCCATCATCTTTCAAATGAAGGGGTTGAACACAAGTGCTCTTGACCCTTCCAGGCCTGAGATTCTATGATTATGGCAATCTCGGCATCAGCAACCTCAGGGCACACAATGAAAGAGGTCACAACTGATTTGCCCCTCTGGGCTCAGATGCTGATTTCCTAAGGCCCCTGGTAACCCCAAGAAAGGCTTGCCTACCTTCCAGAACCTAACTGCACACCGCTTCTGTTCCTACTCAAGGCAGAGCTCTGTGCTGGGCCCTGGGACTCCGCGTGGGGCTCACAACCGGTGGGAAGCCAGAGTGTGGCCACCGGCACCACAGTAGCAGCAGGTTCTCTGCTGCTAGAGTGAGACAGTACGTAGGGCTCACGCACACCAGCAACTGAGCCATCTCCCTGGAGCAGGGAGCAAACATTCTGAGTTGGAGATGGCAGGAGATAGAGCAGAGAGGACTCACCAGCCCCATCCACAGAGCTTGCTGGAGCTTCCTGGGGCTTTGCAGGAGAGGAAACAGCAGGGACCTGGGGGCCACAGCTGAACCAACCTATCTGGCCAGTTCCAGTGCTCCCTTTACCATGGCTCCTAAGTGGGAATTCTGGTGCTGTGGCCTTTTCCGGGCATCCTTTGCAGACCTGCTCTGAGAGGCTGGGACCTCTGAACCAGCAAGCATGCCACAAGCCAGGCTTCGTGAATGGGGTCAGGCACTGTACCCTTGTGCCCCCAGCCTCAGTGACAAGCCTCCTCCACTTCTCTGGACAGCTCACCTGCAGTGAGGTGGGGGATAGGGGTGCTGTCGGTTCCAGACTCAGTTCCACCACTAACTTGCTGAGTTCCTTTGGGAAAATCCCTGCCCTTGTCTGTTCTCTGTTTATTCTCCAGGCATGAGTTCTGGGGGAGACAGAGTAGGGGTTGCTTTTGTGTGAGGTTCTGGATACTGGAAAGAAGGGGGAAAAAAAAGCCCAACCTGGCCATCTGCTTTCTCTTCCAGCAGGGGTCAGAGGTCAAGGTCAAGCCCCCAACTTTGGAGAGTGGTCCTGGGATGTACTGCTACCAGCCGCCCTTGCAGCACATGTACTGCCCCTCCCAGCCCCCCTTCCACCAGGTGGGTCCGGGATGGGTGGGCATGCTTCCCTGGGGTCTCATGATATTACGTGGGTGTGTTGTGTGTGGGTGTGTGTGTAAGTGCACATGCACACCTAGATGGGCAGGTGAGGGCAGCAGGGCCCTGAGCCTCAGGCTGGGCCATCCAGGGCAGGGGGCAGTGGTCATGGGGAGGGAAGCAACTCCCTTTCTGTAGGGTTGGACGGGGCTTACCTGAGCCCCTGGCAGGGCCTGAGAGGTCTCAAACAGGAAAGTGAGGCGAAGATTGAGGCAGGGCCATGATGTGCACCAAAAAGAGAGGGAGGATGAGAGCTACACTAGACAGACAGGAGCAGAGAGAAAAGGAGTGTGTATTGTGACACACAAGCCAGCAGGGCAGGGAACAATGGGCTTCGTTCCAGGTCAGCCACCACCTTGCCATGTGACCTTGGCCTCAAACTTTCCCTTAGCCTAGAGAGGGTGGGCATCAGGTGTGGGGTTAGGGGTACTTCCCACCTGGAAGGCGCCACATCCCCATCATCTTTGGCTCTTTCCTCCTTCCCCACCCCACTGCCCAGCTTCAGCTCCTCCCAAATGTACAGGACGCCAAGGAATTGCCCCACACTGGCATGGGATGGAGGTTTTTAAAAAGAGAAAGAAAAGAGCCCCAGAGCAACCAGGCAGCTCCCAGGAGTCACCGGGCAAGACAGAGCAAGTGGCTGCCCAGCGCCCAGCTCCATCCACCTGCAGCCTGGCACTGAGACAGGCCCTGCCTGTGGAGCAGGTTCTACTCCCAGCTCTTTGGCATTGGCCCTGATCTTGGCCAAGCCAGGGAAGTAGGCAGGGGAGGGGGTGGTCACACTGCCTGCCTTGCGGGGGAAAGGAAGAGACAGCAGGAAGCAAAGGGAACGCATGAGGAGATGTCCTCTGTGCTGCGAGGGGCCTGGCTGGAGTGGCCAAAGCTATCCTGAGGCTCACTGTCTTACCCAGGGTAGGGGATGTCCCTGAGGCAGCCTGCCCTATCAGGGACTAAGCCATAGCAGGCCTCATAAGCAGGGGCCACCAGACCTGAAATGGCCTCACCATGCCTGGCCCTGCTTTGATGCCCTCTGCAGTCTGTACCCCCTCCTGGAACAAGATGGCCGCACCCAGGGCTTTATGGAGCCTGAAGAAAGGGTGACTCAGGCACTGAGTGTCTCTCGGGTGACCTGGAAAGAGCACTTCAGCCTGAAGCAGCTGGGGGAGTCAGAGTCTACTACCCCCCTGTCGCCATAAAACACCACCCCTGGCACCGCAGCCACTCCCTTTGCCGTAAAACCACCTCCTACCCCCACCTGCCCACTACCATGACCAGCCCTTCCAAAGAGCCACTGAAACTTGTAAAAGGTGGCAGTGCCCAGCAAACGCCCAGGCTGGACATCCCACTTCCGGCCCAGCCATTCCAGGAGATGCAAAGGAGGCCTGGAGCACCTAACTGGAAGGGTGCAGAGGCTGAGGGCTGCCCCTGTACTCTCCAGCCCAGCCAGGTGCCATCTCATCACCATGGCAACAAGAGCACCTAAAGAGCTGAGAGGAAGAAGCAGGAGAAAGGGACTTGGAGGCCTCAGATCCCGAGTTCTGGAATGTGACTCTCCTCACAGGCCCTCAGATGTCCACACCCTTGGCCACCCGCCTCCAATAGCTCTTCCCTGTGGTGGTGGAGCCCATGACCAGGGAGAAAAGAATCCGGTCTCAGCTCCTTCTCTGGATGCATATAAATAAAGGGAGGGAAAGCCTCCCTTAAAAAGGCTGGTTACCAAGGCAATCACTCTGCCCCCTTTGACCTCCACAGTACTCCCCAGGTGGTGGCAGCTACCCTGTACCCTACCTGGGCTCCTCACACTATCAGTACCAGCGGATTGCACCCCAGGCCAGCACCGACGGGCACCAGCCTCTCTTCCCAAAGCCTATTTACTCCTACAGGTACATTTCATGGGGTGGAAGGAAGAGGGGTGAGAGGGCCCCCGGGGAAACTGAGGCATGGAATCCTCGGGGTATAAGGGTAGTGGCAGGGGGTGGAAGTCACACTCAATGGGCTTCCAGAGGATTTTGGAGAGAGGATTCCTGCATGGGGGCAGGGGGATAGACTGGATCACCTCTGATCTTTTGTCTAACTCTGGGAAGTCATGTCTGTGGCTCAACTAGGCAGTTGCCTGCTGAGGTCTAACTTCCTGGGGCCTGGGGCCTGGGACTGAGAGTTTAGGGGGGATGCACATTGCCTTCCTCGCTACCCCCAGATACAAAGAGAAGCTCCACCTCAAAGCTCTACGGAAATAAATGAGGGATAAGGGCTGCAGATGTAACTCAGTTATCCACCATCTTCCAGATCTGGTGGGACTTCTCTGGGTCTGGGTCTCAGGTGCCGAGCAGTACCCACGTGTTGGGAAGCCCTTTCGTTTGTCCTTTCATTCATCCAACCAACAGTGACACTTGACTTAATGCATGCGAGGCCCCTCATGGGGTCAGGTCATCAGTTAATACGGGCTCAGGGGAAGGAAGAGGAACATAGACATCAGCCAGGGGCACAGAGGGAGTTCGTGGAAGGCAGGACCAAGTGCAGGGAGCACACTCAGGCCTCGGAGTCCAGCAGAACTGGGTTCAAGACCAGGCTCCGGAATTTACTCACTGTGAAACCTCAGGCAAATTACTTAATCTCTCTGAGCCTCTGTTTATTCATCTGATTACAAAAAAGGAGGGGTCAGGGGGACAGCAACTCAAGACGTTGGAAGGATTAAGTAAGAGAAGCAGGTACCATGCCTGGCACATTGTAGGGGCTCAAGAAACCTTAGTTCCTTCCTGCTACCCAACACTCAAGCAGTTGGCTGAGGACTGACTGGTAATGACAGCTTCCATTTCATGAGTGCCTTTTATGTGCTAGGCCTCATCCTGAATCCTCACGACTCTGAGGTAGCTATTACTTTCTTCACTTCAAAGCTGAGGAAACTGAGGCTCAGAGAGGTTAAGGCACTCACCCAAGGCCATATGGCTAGCGAGTGGCTACGCCAGGCTGACAGCCCGGGTTTCTCAGCTTCTGCAAGATCCTTGTGTGTCTGTAATTCCTGACTTCAGCCCCTCTTTTTCAACCTCCACCTCACAGAGTCTCTCCAGGGCTAGGCGGCTCTGGGTGGGCTCAGGGACTGGTCAGAGACTCAGACTCTCAGGAGTTTTCTCTTTCCTCAGCATCCTCATCTTCATGGCCCTCAAGAACAGTAAAACTGGGAGCCTTCCTGTCAGCGAGATCTACAATTTTATGACGGAACACTTTCCTTACTTCAAGGTGAGCCCAAGGTCCGTCCCCACCACCCCCAAGCCAGGCCTCTGCAGAGCCGGAGGACTAGGCCTGGTGGTGAAGAGGAGTTAGACAGCCAAGAGAGGGTTCGCCCCACACATGCTTTCCCTTGTCTCCACCTCAGAAGGACAGAGTTCCCAAACAAGGGGCTCCACGTGGGGAAGAGGGAGCTCACACTTCTCACCCAAGGTCACACAGCAGGCTGGAGTCAGACCTTCTGCAGGAGGAAGGTGGATGTGCCAGTCCTGATAGGCTTCAGGGAGTACCCGCCAACCCCGAGCGGGGAGAGAAACTTGGGGAGGAAGGGAGACCCCAGGATGCTGTGGGGCTAGAGGAATTTGAGTAGGAGCTGGTCAGCTAAGGTGACATGGGATGCTGGGGCCAAAGAACCCGTTGCCTGCCAGGGTGAGATTAGGATCTGTCTCTGTGGGCGGCAGGCTCAGCTGCAGTTCTGCCAGAAAGTGGGGTGTGGGCTTCCCGGTCTTTGAGTGTCCCAGGGAATTGGCTGGCTCACCTGACTGTCCCCCACCCCTTGAGAGGATCTAGTTCCTGTCATCCACAGAAGGGGTTTCCGGGGGGCTCAACCCAACTCCCTCCCTAGAGGCAGGATGAGTACCTTTCTCCCCAAATGGGCACATCAGAGGGGGTGGTTCATCTACCCAAGGTCGCACAGCAGGTGGGATCAGTTGCTGGGTCAAGCTGTTTGGCTTCATATACCACACACCTCCCCTCGCTGCATTTCTCCCAGGCCCTCCAGCACAGACCCCTTCTCCTGGGGTGGTTGCAGGAGAGACCAGAGCTTGTGTGAGGCCTGCCTTCCCCAAGACCTGCACCCTTGTGGATACAATGTCATCTGCTACCCAGGCGGGGGTGGTAGTGCGGGGAGCTGAGGTCCAGGTAATCCAGAACTCAGCTCCACCTGCCAGTGGGTGATTCCTGCCCCCACCACGTAACCAGTTGTCCTGTCTATGGATAATTTGAGGCTGATGTTCTAACAAGTTTGTACTTGCTGAGCTGCCATCAGATGGGGAGGGAGCAAGATAGCCAGAGTGGTCTGGCTGGGGATGGAAAAGTATGTGGATCCATCAGAGAAGGGAGAGGAGGAGACAGGAGAGTTGTCTCTGGATTCAAGACACTTCAAAGCCTGTATCCAGGGCTGCCCCATTCCCCGGCAGGTCAGGGGGCTGGGCTCTTGCTACCCACTAGAGCTTTTGGAGGGTCTTCCAGGACTTCAAGGGGCCAGGCCAGAGAAAGGGACACAGGGGCCCTGCCCCACTCCTCAGCCCTCCCTCCCTGCCAGCTCCCAGCCTGGCCCCCAGTGCTTCCCTGCATCTCATCTTCCTGGCTTAATTATTTTTCCTGGGAGCCGTGTAATCCCTGTTTTATGGGGCTGAAGAGTGAAGAGGTCCAACAGCTTTTCTCCTCTGGTTCTAGTTGTTGTTCTTGGCCAGTTGCATCACTCCTCACTTCCGAGTTTACATTTGACTTCAGAGAGAAAACATCTGTGAGGATGGGAGGGCCCCAGATGGCGAGGCGGGCCTTATGGGGTGACCTGGGCAGGGCCCTCAGCTAGGGGACAGAGTTGTAGTCTGGGCTCTGTCACTGCCCCTTTGTGTGATCTAGGACTAGGCCCTATGTTCTCTGGACCTCAGTTTCCCAATCTGTAAAATGGTCAGGTTGGACCAATTGGCACGTGGATTTCTTCCAACTCTTGACAGTTCAGTTCCCCTGGTACCCACCTAAGGAATTAGTTCAGCAATCCCCTGCCCCCTCCATCTTTCACTCCCCACTTGAAGGTCATTTTTCTGAGCAAGGACAGAGTGGACCCTGGGGTGGGCAGCATTCATGCTCAAGGCAGCTGATGTGGGCGTCCTGTAGCCCATGAGTCAGGGATGTGGGACTGGGGAAGTGTCCAGCCACTGGACATAATTATTAGTGCTGACCATCCCTCTTCCAAACAGGAAGTGGCTGGGGTGGGGGCTGCCCTGACATCCCAAAGTCAAAGATTTATGGGGCCATAAAAGGCCCCAGTACCCATTAACTCTGTCCACGGGGAGACATAGCCTTGACTCCTACTGAAGACTGTTGTGGGAGTCAAAGATGAATCCCCAGTTGGCTGGCCTGGTGGCTCAAGAATCCTCCTCAGTGACCCTGGGAGCCTTGGGGTCATCTCAGCTAGCCCCCTGCCCCAGGCCAGCTGCCCCTAAGAAAGGTTCCAGCAGCTCCTGCCAGCAACTTGCAATGATGCTGGCATCAGGGCCTGGTTCTGCTGGGAGTGATTCAGAGTGGCTGCTCCCTGGGGCAAGTGAGCTGGGGAGGAGGGTGTGGCTGCCCCTCATTAAGCAGAAACTTCAGGCTGATAGGGAGAGGGGCCAGGGGATGAGGGCAAAAGAGCCCCACCAGCCAGAGCAGGTACTAAACCCACAGACAGCGCCCGCTGGGCTCAGGGCTGTCACAGAGCCTGGAACAGAGCTGGAAGTGGGGGTTGAGGGTACCACAGGCACCCCCGCCACCGCCTCTCACCCAACTGAGTCAGCCTAATGGTTTTTACAACCCTCCCTGGGCACAATTACTGCACTAGTGGCATGACCAGGCCTCCTAATGGGTGTTTATTCTGTTGGCACGAGTACCCCCTGCCTGAGGGCTGGCCTCCCCACCAGGGCACGCCCCCTGGGCACACTCATGCAAACACTCACACCCACACACTCATACAATCATGGACACCCACACACATACCCAGAGAGACTTTCTCACACACAGCCATCCCCAGGGACACGTACATCCTCAACTCAGAGGAATGCACAGGCCCATACCCAGGAGATACTGCACATACCAGGGAGACACATGCAGGGACCTAAGCACGTGCTCATACACACTGCTCCCCCCAAACACCAAAACCCAGATATGCACAAACACGTGTGCAACATGTGCACACACCCAAACACGCACCACCCTCACCCGTCTTTCTTTTCTCCCAAACTTGCCCGAAGGGGATGAGGCAGACCCCGGAGAGGAGCATTCCATAGCCTCCTCCTAATTCCCTCTCCAACGCTGGCACAGGAGACCTCGGGGTAGTGAGTTCCCTTTCCACAGAGGGGCCCAGCACAGACCTGAAGACCAGTGGGGAGTGGTCCCACTTCAGATGAAGGCATGGGCCAGGAAGCCTCTGAAGCACCCCCCAGCCCTCAACAGTCCTCTGAAGGGGCGTGCCAGGGATGGGGATGGGATGAAGGCAGATTTTAGGTGAAAATAATTTGTGATCCAGGTTCCCGCTCACCCCTTCCCCGCCATCGAAGGGTACTGAGCGTATCCTGGGTGTTGAGGTGGACAATGAGCCCCAGAGTGGGCAGCAGTTCTGTGCCCATGGGGAAAACAAAGGAGTGCTCTAGAGCCCAGATCCAGAGCCAGCTCTGGCTGCCTAACCCGGCCTGAATTCTTGCCTTGCTCCGCTCCGGCAGACAGCGCCTGATGGCTGGAAGAATTCTGTCCGCCACAACCTATCTCTCAACAAGTGCTTCGAGAAGGTGGAGAACAAATCAGGCAGTTCCTCTCGCAAGGGCTGCCTGTGGGCCCTCAATCCAGCCAAGATCGACAAGATGCAGGAGGAGCTGCAGAAGTGGAAGAGGAAAGACCCCATTGCTGTGCGCAAAAGCATGGCCAAGCCAGGTGAGGCTGGCCGGGCGTGTAAGGGAGGGTCCAGGGTACCCAGGAGCCAAAAAGGAAACAGAATTGAGGAGGGAGGTAAGGGCCTGAGTGCAGGATCCAAGGCTGGGAAGGGCTGGGGAAGGCCATGGATGAGGGAGGTCTCACGGTGCTCCTTCTCTCTTGGGCCTTTTCAGAAGAGCTGGACAGCCTCATTGGAGACAAGAGGGAGAAGTTGGGCTCTCCGTTGATGGGCTGTCCAGCCCCTGGGCTGGCAGGCTCAGGCCCCATCCGGCCCCTGGCACCCCCAGCTGGGCTCTCCCAGCCTCTGCACTCACTTCACCCAGCTCCGGGCCCCATTCCTGGCAAGAACCCCCTGCAGGACCTACTGGGGGGGCATGCACCCTCCTGCTATGGGCAGACATACCCACACCTCTCACCGGGCCTGGCCCCTCCTGGACCCCCACAGCCGTTGTTCCCGCAGCCGGATGGGCACCTCGAGCTGCGGGCCCAGCCAGGCACCCCTCAGGACTCACCTCTGCCTGCCCACACCCCACCCAGCCACAGTGCCAAGCTGCTGGCTGAGCCTTCCCCAGCCAGGACCGTGCATGACACCCTACTGCCAGACGGAGACCTTGGTACCGACCTGGATGCCATCAACCCCTCTCTCACTGACTTCGACTTCCAGGGTGAGCTGGGGGGTGGGAAAGGGGAGGCAGGACAGGACTTGAGAGGTGAACCTGGCCACATGGCTCATCCTCTCCAAGTCTCCAGGCTGCAGCCTGCTAGCTGCTGGGTTTCTGGTCAACTGAAGCAGAGAGCAGAGGGCATCAAGCTTCCCACTCACTCCCTGCCATCCAGAGTACAGGGCAAAGAGTAATGTCCATGCCCCCATCTCCCTCTGCCTGGTGCCCCCAAACATGCTTCAACTGACCCCATCATCAAACCACTGTCAGCATTGGGTAGGCTGGAAAGGGCTCCATGTTCTATTCCATACTCAGTTGTGAGTGACTGGTAGTCTGAACATTCCCAGAGTCATTTGCTGTTTTTGTCTAGAGAGACCCTCCCCCTGGAGGAGTGTAAGGCCTGAGCTGGGCAAGTTCTGGAGAGATCTGGGGATGGAAGTCTAGGAAGAGGTTCTGTCCATTCCACTCCTTCTTGTCTGTTCCATCTCTGCATGGGTTCAAGCCCACCCCTTCCCATCTAAACTCCAGTGCACCCTTGGACCCTGGAACCAGCCACTAGAAGTTTGGAAGGGAATGCTAATCCAGACCTAAGACCCTCTGTGTGCACTGGGGTAGGGGACATCTACAAGTAGGTGGAGGCAGCCTACCCTCAGAGAGCTCCCAGTCTGACAGGGAGATGGCCCAGGTCTTGGGAAGCTAATATTAGAAAAGTGCACATAAATCCTCACCCCAGTCCAGAAGTGGGGAGCAGAGCCCTAATAGCCTCAGAGGAAGCTATAGACATGTGAGATGCAATAAACATTGACTTGAGCCCCTACTAAACATCAGGCATCATGCTAGAGATTATTAAACCCATTTCACAGATGTGCACAGAGGTTAAGTAACTTATTCAAGGTCACTTTCTTTTTTTTTTATTTTTAAAGATGACCGGTAAGGGGATCTTAACCCTTGACTTGGTGTTGTCAGCACCACGCTCACCCAGTGAGCGAACCGGCCATCCCTATATGGGATCCGAACCCATGGCCTTGGTGTTATCAGCACCACACTCTCCCGAGTGAGCCACGGGCCGGCCCTTCAAGGTCACTTTCTAAAGAGGGAGAGTTAGGATTAGAACCCACACAGCCAAGTTCAGTCCAGGGTTTAGTCAGGCCTTCTTTCTCCAGACCCTGCAGCTCTGATACCCAGAGCAGGAGCCCCAGGCCCTGGCCTGCCATGATGCAGGTCACACGACACTGAGAGGGATCAGGTGGCACCATTGTTTGCTCCCCAGAGTCAGGTGAGCTTCCTGGCTCTGCTCTGTCCCCTGGGCCTAGCAGTGGAGGAGGCCCGGGGAGCCATGCCCGTCCACTGCATCAGGACCAGCAGTGCACTGTGGGAAGATCCTTGGTCTGGGCTGCAGATCCTCTTTCCTTGGAAGCCTGGGCAGAAGCCAAGTTCCTGGAATTTCCCCTAGGCTAACCCCTGAGTGCACAGCATTTACATCAACCCTCCCAATAGGCCATTTTCAAACCCTTGAGTCTCCCCAGTGTCCCCCACCAAAAAAGAGCCGCAGAGGTCCTCTGTATCTGTGACTTTCAGACTGTGCTACATGGCAAGAAGAATTTGAGGCTCAGAGAGGTTCAGCAACTATCTGCAGTGACATGGCTAGTGCTAGGGTCTGTTCCCAGTCAATGTCACCCCATCCTGCTCTCTGCAATGTGTGAGAGCCTCATGGTAGAAGCAGAAAAGGCTCCTCTGGTGCCTCCCAATGACACCTGTTCTCCTCTCTCCCTACTCTCCCAAATAGGAAACCTGTGGGAACAGCTGAAGGATGACAGCTTGGCCCTCGACCCCCTGGTTCTGGTGACCTCGTCCCCAACATCATCTTCGATGCTGCCACCCCCGCCACCATCTCACTGCTTCCCCCCTGGGCCCTGTCTGGCAGAGACAGGCAGTGGGACAGGCGATTTGGCACCACCAGGCAGTGGGGGCTCCGGGGCACTGGGTGACCTGCACCTCACCACCCTCTACTCGGCCTTCATGGAGCTGGAGCCCACGCCCCCAACCGCCCCCACCGGCCCCTCTGTGTACCTCAGTCCCAGCTCCAAGCCCATGGCCCTGGCATAAGCTATGCCCAGCATCAGCTCCAGCCTTTGCCTGGTCTGGAAGTCCCAGCTGGTCGCCCACATTGGGCTCACCTTAAAGGTCAAGGAAGGAAAACACTACCTGTCCCCTATGCCACTAAGCCAACATGTTTGTTAGCTGGCAGCTGGGGGCATAGAAGACACCACCCAGGATGCTGCCCCTCACACATTTCTGCCACCTGGTGGTCCAGCTCCTCACTCAGCGCCCCTGAAGAGCAAATGTCCGGGCAAGAAGAAAATGCACTCTCCTGAGCTCACACTCACCCACACCTAAGCACTTGCACACACACAGTCACACACGGTCATTCGGACGTGCACCCTGCTACGCATTGTATACCCAGAAGAGTCAAAACTACATCACCAAGAGCCTGACTTCGTCTCTGGGGCAGCTGAGAGCAGAGGGCCCTCACGCCCCCATGCCAGGCTGAAGATCTCCCCGGAACTCCATTCTGACATCCACGTACTCTGCAGACCTGGCCCCCTCCAGTTATGTTTTCTCCCAGAAGCCCACTGTATTTATTCTCCCATCTTCACCCCAACAGCCCAGCAAGGAGGAGGAGATAGAAAGCACCTCCCCAAGTTGTCTGTGGACCCCCACAGGGACTGCTACGTAGCAGTACTCGCTCTGCCAGGCTGTATCCGTCCTCAGCATATACTCTGTCTGGCCTCTTCCAGGGTGACACACAGAAGAGGCAATGTCCACCCAGGGACCAAACTGAGCCCAATTCAGACACAAAGTGTCTGGATAAGCCCTTGCCCTTGGAAACTTGAATGTGTCCTCTTCTCCCAGTCCTGTGTACAGGAAGGGCCCCCTCCAGGTCACCACAATCTCACTCCTTCTCTAGAGCAAAGTTCATGTAGTTTAGGTCCCAGTGTACTACAGTCAGTCCCCGATCTACGATGGTTCCACTTAAGATTTTTTGACTTTAAGATGGTGCGAAAGCCATATGCACTCAGTTTGCTCCTCATCTTACAATGGGGCTACATCCTGATAAACCCATCGTAAGTTGAAAATATCATTAAATCGTAAACACACTTTCGACTTATAATATTTCCAACTCAGGATGGTTTATTGGGACATAGCCCCATCGTAAGCAGAGCAGCATCTATAATTACGTCCTACTGTCTCAGGCAGCCTGGGGGTTCAAGGAAGGGAAGCCCAGCACAGGCTGGTGGGGGAGCTCCCATGCCCCTCTCTCTTGGCAGACCCAGGATAGCCAGGAAGCACAAGGGATATCCCTGGAGCTAGGGGGTGTGGCCCAGGTGCCCTCCATCCCCTACCCAAGAGTCCAACCCCCGCTAAGTGGGAGCCTCAGTCTACCCTGGGCCTGAGGGTGACAAGAACCTCAAGAGGTTGGTCCCAGGGTCCTATGAGGCACAAGCAGATCCCTTGATGGCCTGCCATTGTCCCCTGTCCTGGAACAATAAAGCAAGTGCCTTGTGGTCTCAGCTACTGAGCCTTCTTTTCTGGATCTCCCCTCCCTGGGCAGAAAGGCCAGGCCAGACTGATGGTAGATGCCCTGGGCCTGTGATGCCGCTCCCACCCCCACCCAGAACCATGAAGTTTCCAAAACCAAAAAGTGAGGCATCCAGGAGGATTTCCTAAACAGGGAAGTGAGGGAACAGATGGGCAGGGCCTCCTGCAAGGAGAACGTCCAGAGAAATGCAAGGAAGAGGCTGCCCTGCCCAGAGGAAGGGAGAAGACACCCTCCTCCCACATCCCTTTCTCCTGAGAGACACCCCCTCCCTCTACTGCCCTGTCCAGGCTGTGCCTTCCTGCCTCCCATTTGTCCCCAGCTGGGAGAGATGCCACATCTGTTTGGGGCTTTGGGTTCCACAGGTGACCAGAATGGAACATGCCTGGTACTGTGTGCACTGCTGGTCCTGGAGGGTGGTCTCTGGAAAGTCAGGGGTTCACTCAGTCCCACTTGACTCACCCCCTCCAGGCACCACTTCCAGGTGTCACCAAAGGGTAACCTGAGAGGCAGCACTACAACTCTGCCTCAAGAGGGACACGGCAGATGTGGGAGCCAAGAGCACAAACATGAACCTCAGGTCTCAGAAAGTCCCCTGGGGATCAGGCCTGGCGGCCAGCCAACACCTACTTCTAAAAGGATAGCTCTGCAAAAGGTCCCATAACAGAACCCCATCCTACCTCAGTGCCCTCCCTCCTGGAGGTTCTAAGGCTGGGGCCAGGGCTAGAGGGCTAGGGTGGGGTAGGGAGTAGGAAAGGCATGGCTAGATGGTGCCCCCAAGAGGAAGACCCACCTGCCCCAGCCTGGCCCTGGCTGTCTAGAAGGGGCATGAAGTCTCTCTGCCAAGCCCCTAGGTGATGCTGCCCCCAGCTCTGTACAACCCTGGGCCTGTGTCTTTTTTTTTTTGTATTGAGCCTGCGTCTTGATGTCCAGGCCCCCAAGGACAGGGCAAGTGTTTCCTGGGAGAATTTTACTAGGACCTACTTCCTTGCCGTGGGCCTTCAGACCCTTGGAACTCAGGCACACTTACCTTGTACCCACAGACTACTCGATGAGCAGAGGACATCTCCCCAGAGGACCCTCAGCCAGACCTCTGTTCGGTGGACCCACTCAGCACACCTGTGAGTGAGCTAGCACCCAGCGTAAGGAAGACAGCCGACAAGCAAATAGGACTTTGGGTCTAGCTGTAACCAGACTGGCCCTCAGACCTTTAAAACAGCCTCAGCTCCACCCTGAAATGAGCCCTACAGCCCCGCTCATATGCTGCTCCCTGCTGGCCATCCCATGCAAGGTGTTTAACCAACGTTTTAGGGTGAGCAGCCATTTGTAACAATGGATGCAGGGTCTGAAGTCCCCTATCTTGCAGGAATTAACCCTTTTTTTTTTTTTTTTTTTTGTCTTTTGTCTTTTTCCGTGTCCGGCAACGGATCGCAACCCTCAGTGTTGCCCCTGCACCGGACCGGGGACCGGCAACGGGATTGCAACCCTCGGTGTCGCTCCCGCGCCTCGCTCAGCCAGTGAGCGGGAACCGGTCTGTATGTGGGATCCGAACCCTCGGGCGGCAGCGCCGCGGCGCTTCCCAAGCGGGGCACTTATCCAGTGCGCCACCGGGCGGGCCCTGGAATTAACCCTTTTGTTCAGGGATTCTAAACAACTAAAACTGAGGGTTCTAAAACTGGTTAGAATGAACATGTCTGGGAACTTGGATGAAAAAAAATTACATCATCATTTTCACTCATCTCTACCTGAAATTTAGCATTTCTGTTGATTATGAACATCAACCAATCACAATAGCTTTAGTAGTACCCGTGACTTTCTCATGAGAAATCACAGATACTAGGGCTGGCCAGGTAGTTCACTGGCTGGAGTACAGCCTTATAACCCCAAGGTCATAGGTTTGGATCCCCATACTGGCCAGCTGCCAACAAATAAAAAAGAAATCACAGATACTATATTTTCATATTATATTACGAGTATTACAGAATACACACACATACAGAAATAGTTTGTGTTTTGGGGGGTTCTTTGGGCATCTGGCCGGTATGAGGATCTGAACCTGTGACTTTGGTGTTATAAGGCTGTGCTCTAACCAACTAAGCTAACCAGCCAGCCCTAGATATAGTTTTTAATACATAAGATATATAGCACTACTATACATTTTATGTTCTTTTTTTTTTTTTAAAGATGACCGGTAAGGGGATCTTAACCCTTAACTTGGTGTTGTCAGCACCACGCTCAGCCAGTGAGCAAACCGGCCATCCCTATATGGGATCCGAACTCGTGGCCTTGGTGTTATCAGCACTGCACTCTCCTGAGTGAGCCACAGGCCGGCCCTACATTTTATGTTCTTAAAAACCTTTATTGTCCATAGGCCTTAGTAGGCTGACAACAAAGGGGTCCACAGCACATAAAAAAAGAAAAGCATTCTTGCTTTAGTTGCTGGATGGTGGGGAAAAGGAGGGCGCCTCTTAAGGGAGGGCTCAGGCTAGGGAGGAAGGCACTGGGGGCTTGGGGCAGCAGCTCTTTACCAACTAGAAGGGCAGCATCTCAATATTTTAACAACTGGTTTGGCGGTCCCAATGCGCACCCTGTAGGCCAGCCCAGGAGGGCATGAGCTGTGCATTTCTCTGTAGTATTGGGGCTTTTCTGCTCTACACTGTGGCAGGATCCTCATGACACCCCTGAATAGTCAAAGCAAAAATGACTGGTCCACTTCAGAGAGACAGAATCTGAGGTCCAGCTCCAGCAAGGGACTTGCTCCTTCAAGGTCAACAATTCATCAACATCAAGGCCAGAACTAGCCCCATCTCCGCCCTATCTTCTTCCTCCTTCTGCTGCCCAGGGATCTAGGTTCCTAGGGAAAGTGCCAGGAACTAAATGCAGCAAGTTGCACCATTAGCAGCAGGACCAGTGCCAGAGGTATGAAGACTTAAAAGGAGGCAGGGGGCCAAGGCTCTTCCCAGCCAGTCCTCATCCAGGCCCAAGGGATACAGACCTCTCCTCAGGGTGAGTGCCAACCTGGTGCCTGCTCCGAAGATGAGGACCCCAGAATAGGGACCTGCCTCCCTGTCTGAAGGTGGAAGTGCAGTAGGCCCATCTAGAACCTCAACCCAGTTATACTTAGCAGACGCAGCAAGGAGGACTTGTTAGCAGGGTGATCAGGGAGGGTCCTCTTCCTGCACCAGGGAAGTGGGTCCCTCTTCCTGGCTATGGCTTCTCTGCAGACTTGTAACCCCATAGACTACTACAAATACAAAGACCCTCTGTTTGGACACCTACACAGCCTGATCTGCGAATTAACCTCCCTGTACATTCTTGTCCACACGCCCCTTCCTCACCTTTGTGGCAACTGACAGTTCCTGACCATTTGCTCTTTGGTGAAATTCTTACTTCCCTTCACTTCTAGCACAACCTGCTCCAAAACAGCCTTCTGCTCCCATTCCCGGGCAGCTCCTCCTGTCTCCATCTTTGCTTCTCCCCCAGGCCTGCTCTCAAATGCTGGCCTTCCCTAGGGCTACATGGTCTCCAGGGACCCTCCATTGTGGGCTGGGAGATGATTAGCATTGTTTGGGAGAGTCCCAATAATTGCAGGACACTTGGCGTTCCTGTCTCCTGTTCACTAAATACCAGTCATGCCAGTGAAGGACCCCAAATCTCAGCTGCCATCACAGCTTCAGCAAGCACCTGTGGCCAATGACCTCCAACAATCACCATCTCCAGCCTTTATTCCCCTCTTGGTCCAGAGCTCAAATTTCCTGTCCTCTGGTCATTTCCTCTGGGATATCTGTACCATGCCACAGCATGTCCCAGCCTGAGCTCATGATCTCCCACTAATCTCTGCCCTGATCTAACCTGGGTTCCCAAACCCAGCAATGGCACCCCTACCCACCCCAACACCCAGGCCACAAGCCAGGCATTCAGTCTTGACTCCTCTCTCTTTCCAGTCCCCTCATCCCATCAGCAATCGGTCCTGGGGATTTCTTCACGGATACTGACCTAACTCAGGTTCCCTTCGTCTCTCACCCCAATTCCTGAAACTCCCTCCTCACTGCCCTCTGCCTCTAGTACGGTAGTGCCAGAGTCAGCCTGCCTGAATCCGAATCCTGGCTCTGCCACTTAGTAGCTGTGCAACACTGGCTGGGCAAGCTAACCTCTTTGGGCCTACATTTTCTGTCTTTTTTTTTTTTTAAAAAGATGACCGGTAAGGGGATCTTAACCCTTGACTTGGTGTTGTCAGCACCACGCTCACCCAGTGAGCAAACCGGCCATCCCTATATAGGATCCGAACCCGGGGCCTTGGTGTTATCAGCACCGCACTCTCCCGAGTGAGCCACGGGCCAGCCCGGGCCTACATTTTCTGTCTTTTTTTTTTTTAAAAAGATGCCCGGTAAGGGGATCTTAACCCTTGACTTGGTGTTGTCAGCACCACGCTCACCCAGTGAGCAAACCGGCCATCCCTATATAGGATCCGAACCCGGGGCCTTGGTGTTATCAGCACCGCACTCTCCCGAGTGAGCCACGGGCCAGCCCGGGCCTACATTTTCTGTAAAATGGGTATAATAATAGTGCCTTCCTCAGAAATGATTGTGAATATTTTATGAATTAATACATGTAGAGCACCCAGCCCAGGCATGACACAATAAATATTGACTATTGTTATTAATCTCATTCTTTCCAATCCACCCTTCACTCAGCAGCCAGAGATAATCTGACCAGGTTGTTCTGCTTAATCCTCCTCAGGGGCTGCCCATCTTCCTCAGAAAGAGCCCCAGCTCCTGGGTTCCACAGAGCTATCTTCCTTTTACATTACAAATATCCACTGTCAAACACACCTGATAAACCTTGCTTCCAAGCCTTTGTTAAGCTGTTCCCTGCGCCTACACACTCTCTCTCCCACCTCTTCCTGTTAAAGTTGTCCTGAGCTTACAAGCACCTGCTCCAAGGCTGCATCCTCCAAGAATCCTCCCCAGAACCCTCCAAGCAGAACAGCTCTTGCTCCCCGTGTGCCAGGTCCACCTTGTTCTAGGGACAGGTATTTGTTCCTTTGTCTCCCTATTTTAAAATTCCCAGAGGTCAGTGCAGATCCAGTTACCTAACAAGGGCTCCATAGAACCCAGCTGAATCCCAGCACTCCTGGGCCTCCTAGGGCCAGAGCTCCTCAGCCCAAAGAGAGCAGGCTGGCATCAGGTGCATGCGAAGGAGGGAGGGCCTGCAACAGTAGGTGTGGACTGAGGTGAGCTCGCCGCCTAGCTCCGTTCCTGAATTTCCTCCATTAAGCGGCCCCTCCTCTGGGTCTAGGGTAGGGGTGGGGGCTGAGGGCAGTGTTAGATGCAGGGCAGGCCAGGCCAGGGGGCTCCCCAAGGCAGCTGAGGGCAAAGAGATGGCTCCAGGCCTTAGCCAAAGCCCTGTCACCTTCTCTGATGAGGGCTCAGATCACAACCCAGTGGTCTTAATGATCTCTAGAGGTCCGAGAAGGTGGGATGGAGGACAAAGCCACCTCTTTCACACCTTCCCTCCCACCCTGGAGGGAAGGCCTTTGTTCCAGCTTCTGCTCTACCAGGGCTGACTGTGACTTTATGCCAAAGCTTCTCCTCTTAGGGCCTGGGTCTCTTTCCATCATGACAAAAACGCTTTCCAGTTCCATCATGTCCTAAATGCTGACTCTAGATACCAAGCATGGTGTCAGAGTACAGAGAACCAGGGGATGGGGGACTCGGGGGTCAGAAGGCACTGGGAGGAGGGAGGGCGAAGATTTTTACCACCTTGAGCACATATCTGCCAGCCCCCTCCCCGCGCCGTGCCTTTGCCCACATAGACCACACTCAGGCTGGCCCATGCCAGAGACCAGAAAAAGAGAAAGTTTATTGAAAACTATATACAGTTGGTCCAACTCCTACCACAGGCTGCAATTTGGGCCAGTCCCTCCCACACCTCAGGCAGTGTCTCGGCTCCTGATCGGGGAGGCTAGGGGTGGGGCCAGGGCCCAGACTCCTTTGGGAAGCTTAGCAGCCAGACCCCACCATGAATCTCTGTCTGAATACAACTCTAAATGGCCTGGAGGTGGCAGGGAACAGAGAATGGATCCCTGCCTTGACCTAGTCACAGCCTGGACAGGAGAACACTATTCTGAAACGGGACCAAGAAGTCTCAGCTAAGCTGTCCTGAAGTCCTGGCTGCTCCTCTCACAGGGTGCCCTCTTGGACACGGAGGCAAACAGCCCCCCTACCACCCTATCCCACGCGCCAGGCCCCATGGGCTTCATGGCTTGTACTGGGGACATCAAGCCCCCTTCATCCCAACATTGACTCAGGGTCCAGGGCTCCTGGAGCACTCCCCAAGCTGAAAACCTGGGTTGAGAGGTGAGTGTTGAGATCATAGCTCAGGGCTCAGGACCAGAGCCTCCTGGGGTAGGGGTGATTTTGGGGGTCAGGGTGTCCCGCTGTAGGAATAGTCTGCTTTATTGTGCATTACCAGCCGGTCATCCACGAAGTAGAAGCTGTCAGACTGTGTTTCATATGGGTGGCGGATCATCTCACTGACTGCAAGAGAGGCCCAGCCAGGCCGGGCAAAGGTCAGGAGCCTGAGCCAGGCCACTGCAGGGGCTTCAAAGCTGAAGAACAGGGGCAGCTGAAGACAGGCACAGCTGAAGAACCTCAGAGAGTTCCCCAGACTCTTTGAGCCTGTTTCCCTATAGGTGACATGGGAATAGTGCCAGACACAAGGGACCCAGGGTGGGAAAAAAGGGGGTCAGACCCACAAGCACCCCTCCCTCCCTGAGCTTGGTCTCTACATGTCCACCCCTCCCCTGCTCCCACAAGTCCCTGCCCACTCACTCAGCTCCTCAGAGAGAGGGGGAAAGTCGTAGATGTGCTCGCAGGTGTTCTTGCTGCTGGGGATGCAGAAGCCAAAGTGGAAGTCAAAGCTTTTGAGTAGCTGGTTGCGGAAGTAGTGCCTCTCAATCATGCGGAAGTTGTTGACTGGTTTGTCACCCACTGTGAACTCCACCCTGAGCAAGAGAAGGGGGCAGGGCTGAGTCTGGCCTGCAAGTCAGCCAACCAGACAGGCACAGGACAGACCACCCCTAAGAGAGGTCAGTAAGAACTCGGAAAGGGCTTGCTTCCCCCAGCCCTCACCCCCAGCCCTCACCCTTAGCCCAGTGACTCACGTGGCTCCCACCTGCCTCAGGCGGAGAAAGGCAGGCGTAAACTGGTAGCGGACAAAGCGCCCAGCATTGGGGTCCAGGTCCCGCAGATTGATGGGCAACCGCTCTGCAATGTACCCCACCTGGGGCTCAGTGGGCTTCAGGCTGGGGCCCTTGCCCACCCATGCTTCCACCCAAGGGCCCCCATTTGTCTGAATTTTTAAAAGTGCCCCAGGAGATTCTGATGCACATTGAGAGTTCAGATCATTGGCCAAATGTTGCCACCTGTGGGTTCTAGGTCAACAGGTCACCAATTTCGACTGAGGTTCCCAGGGCCACAGGATGCACAGAGGCCCAGGGCCTCTGAAACTGCAGTCCCCCTGGAGGCCTGCAGAGGGCAGGCTGGCAGGGACCAAAGGGGCAGGGCTGCCCTCCCAAGATGTCCAACCACAGAAACAGATGGGAAGGAAACGAGAGGCCTCGCTGCCTGCAGACTCCTGAGAATGCTGGGGTCCAAGACCCAGCTCTGTTCTGACTCTGTGGCCTGAGGAGTCCCTGGGCAACCCACTCCACAGCTCTTGCCCACCTCCCCATCAGTGGCACACCCTGCCCACTTACCCGAGGCCGGGGGCTTCTTGATTTCAAAGAGGACAGTGCCTGAGTCCATGTCCCGAATCTTAAACCTGACAAAGTCGATCTTGTAGATATTCTCCTCAGGGGAGCACAGGTAGTCTAGGGAAAACAGGCAGCTGAGCAAGGAAAGGGACCCAAAGCCCCTGCTGCCAGTTCAATGTTTGTGGGACCCCACCCAGCCTGGCTACCACTTTCTCTAGGGTCACTGCCTTCCAGAAAGGGGTTATTTGAGCCCCTACCTTGGGGGAGCCCCCACAGTGCAGAGGACACATACCTTTACCATGGGGACTTAATGGGGGATGAAAGCTCTATCCTAGTGGCCTCTGGGAGTCAGGGAAGGGCAAGGCAGAAGAGGGTAGAGGACAAGGCCACCTCCCCTGCACTTTCCCTCCCACCCTGGAGTTGAGGGCCCTTATTCCAGCCTTAGCTCTGCCAGGGCTGGCTGAGTACCTTTGAGCCAAATGGGTCTGCAGTCTGGTGGGAGCCCCCAGCATGAGAAGGAAGATACAGCCCTGCCTTTGGGAACCTCCCTCTAAAGGGGGTGACACAATTCTGTCTTGGGAGAGACACGGTCCTTCTCTGGAAGATATCCCCACCCCCACCTCATGGCTGCCCCTAGCACTACATCTAGATGTGTCAGGCAAGGCTGATGTTGAGAGGACTGACCCTCACATGGATAGTGCTGAGGCAGGTGAACAACGCCTTCCTGTTCCTCCTCAACCCCCACCGCCAGCCCCCTCCTCTCCTTGTAAGCGGCTTATGCAAGCCCAGCTCCCTTAAGCAGCTTAGCCAAAGCTCTGCTGACTCAAGTCCAGAGCTGGCGATGTCAGACGGAGGGGGGTCAACTTTGCTCCCCTCCTGTTAATCTCCAAATGGGAGGAAGTCTTAGCACACAAGGGGAATCCCCTTAGAGGTCATCTATCCAGCCTTGGCTCTGAGCCCCCCTAGAAAGAAAGTACTCCCAACCCCCACAGAGAAGAGTCCAGGCTAGGCCAGGAAGAGGGTGTGGCAGGTGCAGCAGAGGGTGTGGATGGGGGTAAGGGGAGTTCTCAGGCCCAGAAGGGGAACCAGGAACAGTGTAGGCCCTGCCCGAGGACGCTCAGGAACACACAAGGCCCACTCTAACCCTCATGCTCTCGCAGCAGCAACTGCAAGTGCTCAGGGAGGTCCTAGCCACAAATAGGAAGGAACAGAGAGGTGCAGGGGGCTCTGGTGCTGTCAACCTGCACAGCATCACATCCTCCGCTGGTGGCCCACAGAGGCCCGGAAACCACCCTTCAGGCCCCTAGGCCACCTGCTATTCCTCTGGGCCAGGAAGAGGAAGTGAATTATAAGTCATTCTCTCTCCCCCAGGCCTATATCTTCTCCAAGCCTGGGGCAGCCCCCTCCAGGAAGCCCTCCTGGTAGCCATCTGGTACCTTGGGGCCCAGCAGAGACTACATAAGGCTTGGGGAGGGCCCTGAGCCCTGGCCTGTCCACCTCGGCCCATGGGGAGGAAAGATGGGGAATGGGAGTGGGCAGCCCCTACCTCACCCTGTACATACCTTATTTTCACAGAAAGGAAGCACTAATCCAAAGGGCACAGGGAGAGGAGGGGGCAGAGTTGGGAGCAAGATCCTAGTTGCCTAACTCCCAGCTCCCCATAAGGCCCTCCCTTCCTCCCCCATTCTCCAACATTTGGAGCCTCTCCTCTCATTTGGGAACAGTTGTTCTTGCAGTCTGACCTCAGTCTCTTCTACTGCAAACTCAATCTATCAACCCCTCTATCCTTAGAGGAGGTGAGGAACAGGGGATGCCTATGGCTGAAAACACCACAGCCACTCCCTCCCTTCTGCCAGGGAGAGATGAGGCATGGGACCCAGGATCAGGTCAGAAAAAGGGGCAGAGTGGCAGAGGACTCAGAACATAACTGCTCCCTTACCCTCGGCCACAAATAGCTTCCTAAGCTGGATGGATTCAGGGCCCAGTAATCCAGAAACAGCAAACCTCAGACCTGTGTGATTAGGGTCATAAGAGACCAGGCAAGGGGTACCAGGGTGGAGAGCCCTAGAGCCCTGTTCCCAACTCCTGCACAGGAAAAGGGACCCATGAAGCCCCTTTTCCTACTCATCCTCCACAGATACCCCATCTCTAAAGGCTAAGGATTTCCTCCAAATTAGGAGACCCATGGTGGTACATGAGCTGGAAGCCCCCTTTAGTTGCAAAATAAGCCCCAGAAGTTACCTAGGACCCAGACAGGTCAGCCTGACCTCTGGACTTCCTATAAGAACTGTCTCAGCTAAGATGAATCCTAAATGCTGCTTTTGCAAATTGCAGCCCAATTGGCTCTAACATCAGCCTGGTCCAGACTCCCTCCTTCAACTGATGCTTGCTTGGGCAAGGGAGCTCAGAACTCTGGGGGCCCAGCCAAGAATGGTTGCTGCCTAGCTAAGAGAAAAGGGAGGATTTGGGCCTCCAGGGACCCAGATGCACAGGCTCACGCCTGCCATCATGGTCCCCTCCACAGCTCTGTCTGGGGGCCCTAGGCTCTGCTGCTCCTGCAGCTCCAGGGCTCAGGTCTGTCCCCCAGCCCCACAGAGAAGGAGCCCAAGAGTTGCTCTCACAAAAGGAGCCTGGACAGGTTTCTGATGAATGAGGCCAAGGTAGAAGGCCAGTGTCTCTCCAAATACCTCCTGTTCTTCAAGGCTCAGCTATGGCCTCTGTCACGAGGCTTCCTAGCCTTATTTCCTGCCTATGGTGACCCCCTACCCTACCCTGAATGCCCAGTTGTCTGCCTCCAGGCAGCAGCCATGAATAGCCCTGTGGGGCCCTCAATACTATTGATAAAAGAGTCCCTTTCACAGAGCATGTATAGCATGCCAGGCACTGTACAAAATCAGAGGACTTATTTTATTTTCACAATAACCTTATGAGGTAGGTGTCATTATCCCCATTTTACAGATGAATAAACATACTCAGAGAGGTGAAGTTACTTGCCCAAGGTCACACAGCCAATTATGTGGCAAAGCTAGGACTCTAACCCAGGCAGTCCAGCTCAAAAACTTAACCTTGCTGGAGACTAAGCCTCTGCTGATGAGATAGCCCCTGGAAGAGGACATGCTTAGGGGGGCATTAACCCACTCCCATGATAGGGCCCACAGCCAACACACTGAAGCTTCCTGCTCAGTTTCTTTCCTGGGGAGGGGGATGGCTCCAGTCTTCCTGGGCGATCTAGGAAGGAGGGGCAGTAATGGTCAGGGAGACCTGAGGGTCTTAAAGCCTCTTGAGTAACTCAGTCTCTACTGAGCCTCCAGGTTGGGGGCTGAGAACAGGCTGCACTCAGCTCCGCTCCTCAATAGTGCAGGCAGGCCTCAAAGGGCTCTGAAGACTCTATGGGGAAAAGGTTACGGTTGCAGACGCTGCCGCACCTTCACCATGGGAAAAGGGGACGGTCCCTCAAAAGGGAAGGAGTGGGGTGGAAATAAATCACCAAAGGAAGAGGAGGGGCACACAGGGAGATCAGGGAAGGGGGGACGTAGAGATAGATCTCAGGCTTGGAGGGACAAGGCAGAGGAGTAAAGAGTAGGGGACATAGGCGTGGGGGACCCGGGTCGGGGAGAGGAGGCGAGGGGAGGGCGGGAAAGGGGGCGGGGGCCGGGGCTCCGCGCCGTGAGGCTCCCTCCCGCCGGCGCTCACCGCCCGTGATCCGCTGCAGCCCCAGCACGTCCTCCGGCCCGATC